ACTACAATCTAAGGGATAAAAAAAACCCTCAAAGTTGGTAGAATTTAGTAAAAATCAGATATCTGATTCTTAGTTTTGTTGCTTTTAAAGTTCTTTCTATTCTAGCAACCTCTGCTGCAAGTGAAAGAAACTAGTTATTATTTGGCTTTATATACTCAAAACTACGTAATAGATTAAATAATGATCGGGTAGAAAAATTGTTTTTATTTATTAGAATCTTTGAATATTGCGAAGTTTGGACTGGCCATTATCAATAAATGATTTAAAAAAAACTAGTACTATTATTGAAAAAGAAATTAGTGAAAATATGGGGTGTCTTCAATTAAAAGGACCCATTTTTATATTTATCTCATTTTGAGATAATTGAGTTTAAATATTTGTTTTGATTTTTGGACTGATCCAGAATTAATCAAATTTCACAATTTTGATTAGTTAACAATAACAGGTGACTATCGGGTAATCTCATGATATGCTTGGTCTTAGGCAGCTTTGTATAATCTTTATTTTACATTATCTCTATTTTTTATTAAGAAAATCGACTTTTATTTATAATTAAAAAATGTCAGTCATGTCAAATTTTATATGAATCTAACAAAAACTTATTTTTTGAAAAATTGTAAAAATAGGCCCTTTTAATTAAAGACACCCCATATGATAGATACTGAAATAGATACTAGTGAAAATTTGATATTTGATGATAGAGAATAGATGTTGAATGAAGATATGTCTTTTGAATATAATGAAGAAAATTTCAAAGAAAATATTGAAGATTTTGAGAAATATTCAGAAAAGAATTTTGAGCAAAATTTTGAAGACCAATTTGATGAAGAATATTATGAAGATTATGAAAATTCTGAAAAGTATTCTGAAGAAGATTTTGAGGAGTATTATGAAAGCAATTTTACAACAAGCTTGGAAGATAATAATTAAGATTTGTATCACTATTAGTTTATTGTCAAATTTGTTGTTACTATTATATTGAAAACTTAACTAACTAATTAGCTTTTAGGTTATTGAAATTTTATGAATTATAATATTTTATACAGTCAATTATAAGCTTTATATAATCTTAAAGATCGCAAAAAGTTTTTTAAAAAATTTAGCTTGATATATATAGAGCACTATAGTGTTTTATTAAATATGTTCATATGATAATAATTTTACTTATTATTTACATTTTTTTAAGGAATTTTAAGATTAATCGAAGACTCTTATTTACAATATAAGGAAGATCGTAAATTTAAAAAGTTTGATTTTATAATTACTATATTATGACTATTAGTTTATTGCTATTATCTTTATATTTTTTTTTACTTTGGCGATCCTTCCTTTATTTTATAAATTGGCAGTAAATTACAGTTAGATATCTCAATTAGCTAAACCTATGTTATCTTGTAAGAATACTATATATCTGTCCAAATAAAGAATCTCTCGATCTGTTTTATTATCGCAGCAAAATTATAGTTATCTATAATTAAATGCTAGAGTATGACCCAGGAGCGACCCATCTAAGTGATAGTTTTCCTCCTTCCGGGATCCTCAACTTACTGAGGATATAACCCCCGGATATCAACAGATGGTTTTACTGATCTTGTCAAAATCACTGCTCTACAATAGAGTGCCGCCAATCTGATAACACTTTCTCGTAGAGAAGTAAAAAAGAAAAAAAAAAGGGGTAAGTGTAAAACAAAAAAGGGGCAAGTAAAAAAAAAACGAATATACAAAGAAGATGACCAAATTATAAAGGAATTAAAAGACTATCCTAAAATCTAAGAGAACTTGTTTACAGATATAAAAACCTGCTAACCAGATGAAAAACTATCTACATAGTGTAGAAATCTATATATAGAGCTATTTGACAAAAGACACTAAGGTGTACTTTAACCTGTGCTAAGGGATAAAAATTATATGTCTATGACTTCAGACTATTGTATATCTCATAATACTGCTCCAGTTGCCAACTCTTATATTAAATCCAACTCAGGTCCTGGAACATCCAACTTCAAAGCCTTAATACATGATCGTTAGTTTTAATTCCAGCCTCAAAACTTCCTCCTCACACGTGTTTGTTGTTTTTTCTAATTCATCATATTGCAACTCGAGACTTACCGAGAATAGAAGTGGTAAACAATGCCGATCTTTTGCCAATCTTTTGGAGGAGGGTAGCCAAATCCTCCACTTTTTGTTGAAAATTTTGAAAAAAAAGGAACAGCCTAAGGAAAATAAAGTTTTGTGAGGTTTCAAATTTAATGAGTGCTTTTCCAATCTATTTGTTTTGTTCTTTAGTCTTTTCTTTCTTTCAAATATAGATTTCTGCGCTATAGTGTTCCCAAAATATCCTTTTGGTTTGGATACCGAATACGTAAAGAGAGTCCACCAAAAAGAAAAGCTTGACTCTTCCATAAACCAACATACAGTCGCCCGCACCTCGGTGTATCACATCTGCAGTCTTCATTAACAACACTCTGTTACCAAGGATGGAAGTTTTACTAGGACTTTAGGCTTCAACTCTTCGTCTTGTGTTTGGTAAAAATTTGGTTCAAGTGATCGTTAGAGAGAGTTCCAATTTTATCTGTATTATCTTTATATTCTTATTAGTTATTTTTTATTATTTATCTTGTTGCTATATATATCTAAGATAACAAGTATATCATGTATTAAAAGAATTAAAGTGATTTGTGATTATGAAAAAGGTAACAACTAACGTATATAAAGATACAAGATTTATGTTAATACAAGTTTATTCTTTTTATTGTATACTTGAGACAACTGTTTGTTTGAGAGAATCTCAGGGCTATTTATACATTACAATTGGTTATAATTGTTAACTATTCATATGCCAGGCTATATTATATCTATTCTATCAAATAATTATATATGTATGATAAATCAAATATATATAATAATGATAAATGCTATGATAAATATATATATAATATACAAATATCTAACAAAAATATTAGTTATATGCATTTTGAATAGCCTTGTTATTCATAACGCATTATACATACGATCTTAATTATTTATATTAGTAGGTCAATCGCTAAAATGTATAGTTACATATATATTGCATATAATAACGAATTGGCAATCATGAAAATAAATTGTCAAAGAATGCAGAATATAAATTCTAAAACTATACCTTTCATTCTATCTACAGTAAAAGCAATCTGAATAATTTGGAAGTTAGTGATATGTGCATTTTCATCCTATAAATTAGAGTAATTTGGTAATGAGCAGTTAAATCATATCTTTATTAATAAGTGCTAAGTTTTTTTTAAACTTAAAAATAGGATATGTATAATTACATATTTATGTTCTATAATTAGTATTAGGTTTTTTATGCTCTTTATACTCTATGTGTGTATATTATCTTTATTGTTATTGATAGTTTTTTTATTATTTATTCTTTATCTTGTTATTAAACTATATTACTAGTTAGTAAGTGATTTAATTAATAAAGATAATTTATATATATTTATTTATTTAAGAAATTATTTAAAGATAT